AACTAAAATTCTGGAATCCAATCCAGTATCCGAGTATGTGGTGTTTGCTTAATGCTTCTCAATTCTTGGTAATCTGATAAGCATCAGAGGAGGATAGATATCAGCAAGAAACCAAGTGGAAACAAAAACAGTTTGAGAATAGAGATAATTTCAGACATTTTGCTCTCATTGTTTTTGGTATTTCCTTTTTAGGCTCCAGAATTAACTTCTTGGCTTTTCGGTTTATTTTTCTCCTTGATTTAGTGTCTGTACTTTGATTCTCTGTGAGGAACAAAGTAAAATCAGTTTCTTATTCTAATCACACCTAAACTAAAAAAATTTGTAGGAGAAAATGGGACAATTGATGGACAGGGGAAGATGTGGTGGGAGTTATGGTGGAACAGAACATTGGTGCATACGAGAGGCCATCTTATTGAACTCAAGAACTGTCATAATATTCTCATCTCTAACCTCACTTTGCTCAATTCTCCTTTCTGGACAATCCATCCTGTTTATTGCAGGTTCTTAATTACTTCCAACTATTTTTCTTGCGTTGATACTGTGTTACAAGTGTGCATGGTTCGATGACCTCTGGAACTTTTGTTTTGCAGTAATGTTGTTATTAGAAATATGACCATCCTTGCTCCGATAAATGCTCCTAACACCGATGGTATAGATCCAGGTAAATTCTCTGTTCTGTATTACCCTTATCTTGTGTCTACTTTGTAACACCCTTGGTTAGGCTTTGATTGTATCAAATTGAGGTCTACAGATACCCTTTATCTATCAGTTTTTGAAACGATCAAAGCGTAAATATAAAGGAAAACGCAAACGAAAAACAAACAATAGATGCTTTAGAGTTACATACAATATCTTATTTCTATGACTAATATTGCAGACTCAAGCACCAATGTCTGCATTGAGGACTGTTACATCGAAAGTGGTGATGATCTTATAGCTGTAAAGAGCGGGTGGGACCAGTATGGAATGGCCGTGGCACGTCCGAGTTCAAACATCGTAATCCGAAGGATCTCCGGTACTACTCGCACTTGTTCAGGAGTTGGAATAGGCAGTGAGATGTCTGGTGGGATTTTCAACATAACAGTTGAAGATATTCACGTCTGGGATTCTGCGGCCGGGCTCCGCATAAAAACAGATAAAGGGAGAGGCGGGTACATTTCGAATATCACCTTTAATAATGTGTTATTGGAGAAAGTGAAAGTTCCGATTAGATTCAGCAGTGGCTCAAATGATCACTCGGACGACAAATGGGATCCGAAAGCTCTTCCGAGAGTAAAAGGGATTTACATTAGCAATGTTGTGAGTCTGAATTCAAGAAAGGCCCCTATGTTGCTCGGTGTTGAAGGCACTTCGTTTCAAGACGTATGCTTAAGGAATGTTACGCTTCTCGGGTTACCGCAGACCGAGAAATGGAAATGCAAGGATGTTTCAGGGTATGCGAGTGACGTTTTTCCTCTGTCATGTCCACAGTTGTTGCAGAAGAAAGGTTCAATATCTCAGTGTTCATATAGATGAGGTTTGAGCAAGTTTTTTTGGGTAAAGGTAGGAGGAGGCCATGAGTTCGATCAAGTTTTTTTTGAGTGAAGATTCATGGTCACTTTAAAAAATGTTAATCTTGGTTTTTCTTTTCACAATTTTTTTTGTTCTTGTTTGTGAATCTTGATTCTTTTTATACAAACATTGTGTAACGAAATATACTTTGAATTATTCCACAAAGATTTTTTGCTTATTGATTTTTACCGTCATTGTCTTCCACGCCGTTTGTATTTATTTCACCCACTACAAAAATTATTGCATTTAGGTGCATGATAGCGCCGTCGTTGGTCAATAGATTAGTTTTTCTACAAAACGTAACGAGTTACATCTTCTAATGAAAATTTTAAGGCATATGCCGTCGTTTTTTGTATATAGCTAATTGGATTTGTTTACTTGAGAACAGTAAAACCTCTTTGCGCTTTTTCTTTTTGTCTTCTTGGGGGAGGGGGAGGGTTAAATCTCTTTGTTATGAAACTTAAGATGTTCAGATACACACCTCATAGTTGAACAATTGTGTTAACTATATATATATTGCTGGACATTGGAAATAGATGACCGCAGCAAAGCAAATAATACATGCGTTGGTTTTAAGCAAGTCCGTAAAACAAGGACGGAGAAAATGATTAATCTCTTTGCCCAACACCATGCAAGTACTTATGTAGTGACGACGGTCTAATGCAACTAACGCACTAAAAATATCATATGAAATGTGCTTTCTGATACAAGCTCCCATTTAAATATATACACAATTACATTGACATATACTAATACACATCTCTTCTTTTTCTTTCAGTTTTGTTAACATATGTATATATACACTTAGGTTAGCATATCTTTGTGTATTACGCTTTACATACGTACGTTTTTGTTACATGATCCTGTATGAAACAATAAACCATGCAATGTGATAATATAGACAAACTATCACATATGTTTGTGTATTCACCAATATTAAGCGCATGCGATACACATATATATACACACCTATACATGTACGATATATATTTGAATGATATAGAAAATGAGAGTTGTATAATTGATAGAAGATCCATATGAGAGTTTAAGGAAGCAAAAGGCTGAAAATGATGTCTAACCCTAATGATAGAAACCCTTAAAAGCACTGAGTTGTGATGTTATAACCTAAGAAGCTAATCCAACACCAAGAAAATCAATGAAAGTAACATCGTTCTTCTCACCATCATCTCCAATGGATGGTCCATCTTCATTTGAAGTCTTCTTATGATCTGGTGTGGCTGCATGAAATGTGTAATTGTGATCATCCACCAACTCTTTCGACTTTCTCCTCTCAAGATAAATTTCGTGGCGTACGTTAGAGACAGATGAAGATCCAAATTGATCATTTATAGGTGCTGAAACAAAAGAGTAAGGCCAGAGATCGTGACTCTTATCCTTCCGGTACCTCCATAGCCCAAACTGGGATCTATTAAGCCTTGTAATACTAGAACTAGGGCTCAAAACATTATGCCAAGTTTGGTTGAAAGTAGAAGTAGCCGTGGAAGAGAAGTTTTCGCGTTTGCGTCTAGCCATGATGACATGAAAATGGTTCTTGACAGCGTTGTCCGTCCTCCCAGGGAACAGTCGGGCTATGGAGGCCCAACGATTCCCCTGGATCCGATGAGCTTTAAGCAGTCTCTCTTCTTCTTCCTCGGTGAAGGGTTTCTTGGTGATGTTTGGATCAAGTTGGTTGTACCATCTCAATCTACAGCTTTTCCCTATATATGGTTCCATATATGTCACTCAATTATTAATAAAACACATCGATCTAATACGATACATATATACATATATAAAGGAAATATCAAAATATATGAATATATTGATTACCTGATCTTCCATAGAGATGTTGAGCAATGAAATTCCAGTTCTTGGGACCGTATTGCTCAACGAGTTGCCGGAGATTGTCGTCTTCAACAGGTCTCCAGTGACCTCTCTGGCAACTAGGCTTCTTATTGTCAAAACTGTTGCTTCCTCTAGACATTTCCATGGATGCTATCTCTATCTCCACCTATATCAAAACCAATTAGCAATTGTTGAAGAAAGAGATATAAGATAGATTAGTCTAAGGTGAAATGATAACAAGGATGAAATTAATACAAAGAAGAAGAAAAACAAAAGGGAATAAAAAAGAGAGGGTTGGTCTTGGTTCTCTTCTCTTCTCTAGGGTTATAGATGATAAGTCACTTTTCTTCTTTTTACAAGACACCCTCTCCTTTTATATAATATAATTATTATACCCATCTCAACAAAAACTCTTCTTTTAAAATGAAAACAAAATTATTTCTTTGTATTAGTTCTTGTTTCATAGAGATATGTACAACACATATACCAACATGAGCCTCTACGTACTTATGTAGTTTTCTCTGTATATATATATATATATATACAGGTTTGTCAATAAATATCGTTTTGAATCGCTCTAGTCCTAACCCGATTTAAGAGATAGTAGTAATTAAAAGAAGGAAACGATTTGATTTTCTTAGTAATAGATAATAATAGATTGATGAATGAAGCAGACTTTATATTTATAGCTCGACTTCGCGGTATATATGCATTTTACGAGGTAATTAAACTATTCGTTTTCAAAAAGAAGCTAATGATCTTGACGCTTCTGAACTTCAAACACCCATACTAACTCGATTTGTTCGCAACCAACTTGCATTGACGATCATTCTTATTATTTTTGTTTATTTTCCGACAATTATTCTTCTTTTTTTTCAAAACATGTTGATTCTGTTGTATTCCACTTTACTGTTGTTCGTACTGTCAAAGATGCAAGTAGTTGTAAAACGATTAAAAAACAAACGACAAGTCTTCTAAATATAGCAGTCATCGTCATTGGTTGCTGTAAATAAACATGGTATATGTGATAGATCTTAGACCTTTACAAGTTAAGCATAATTTAATATTTCTGTTACACACAAATGCGGTTAATTTAATATGTTAGGTGGTATTGTTTGAATGCTACTAGATTTGAGTATAAATCTAATGTGTTAACCATCAACCATAAGAATTTTCATAATATGATCTCGGACATAGAGAGAATATGAGACTAAGATATGGAATTTTGTGATTATAAGAAAATAAATAGATTTCTGTTACAATATAGTTATCACAGTGTATCTTCATTATTTATGTTATCTAAGTAAGGCCTCAAGCCTTGTGCTAATCACATAAACGTGAACTAACTTAATTTCTCAGCTCCGGTGACGAATCCACTCTGCCTTTGTTCTAGAATATCTTCTATTTTCTCAAGATTTATTACATTTTGGTAATAATAATACAAGTTACTAGCGATTACCGTTACCATGATTAAAGACAAGTTTTGTTCTGGTATTTCACTTTGACGAAGTAAATGGTATTAGTCAAAATAGGGGGCACACAACACAAAATTTAGACTTTTTATGTATATTATTCATAAACATAGAGTCACACATGCACAAAACTTTCTCTTGTAACTTTTTTCATGTTTTCTAGTATTATATAATTATACTAATCAATATTTGGGGACGTAATTACAATCTGGAGTTTTCTCCAAACATTCTTTATTTTCCCTTTGGAAAAACAGAGGTTTGAAAATTTTGGCAAATCTCGACTTTTCATGGCCTCTATATATGCTTCAACTTTTTCTTCGATTAAGAAAGAAAAAAATTCGTAACAGAGGAAGTTAAGAACCAATTTGATCAATGTAAGATGATTGTTTGGCTTTAATGAAATCTGAGATGGCGGCTGCATCACCATGCCTGACTACTCTACCGTTCTCCATATACACAGCTCCATCCGCATACTTGAGCTCCTCTAACCGATGTGTCACCCATAATGCCGTCACATCTCCTTTCTTTGCATTTATCAGATCTTTCACAGCTTTGATCACACCCATCTGCGGAACAAAAAAAAACCCGAGAAAACAATATGCATTGATTAAGAGAAGCTTATACGCCATAACATATCTCTCAAATACATTTCAAATTATTAGATACTATCTCAAATGTGCAAGTTACTCACTTCCAATGTCTACTATATACAACAAGATCAAAGTAGCTCAACACAATCATATTCTAGTTACAGAAGGGTTCTCTTGCAATAATAATCGTGTTTCATTAGCATTTTGTTAGACTTAATCAAACCTTACCTGGTCAGACTCATCTAGGAAAGTTGTGAGCTCATCCAACAATAGCACTTTGCAAGCTTCAGCTAAAGCACCAGCAATGGCAATTCTTTGTTTCTGACCACCACTGAGAGTTTGAATCGGTCTCTGGAAACAATACCAGAATCTACATTTTGGTAAAAGGAACTAGAAGACATAAACACCTTATGGTTGTTCAATGTACATAAACTGACCTGCATATAATCACGCATACCAACTGCCTCCAAAGCTTTAATCACCCTAGACTTGACTTCTTCCTGATTCATGTCATGATACTTGCCAAGACCAAATGCCACATCAGCTTCTACTGTAGGCATCACTACCTGCGATGAACAAGAACGTTCAAATGAGGCCAGAATGAGCGGTTTTACTTGAAAATCCAAATGTTACTAACTGATCTTCCTCAGAAGTGACAACAAAATGAGTCTTCTTTTCGAACAAAATTAAAGCTTTGGATTAAGGCTGTCTGTGATATGGAAAAAGATGCTTAACCACAAACCTACTCAACCATAAAACAACAATACAAGTCAGAAAGAACACCTGACAATACAGAAAACAAAGATGGGAAAAAGTAAGATCCTTTAACAAATAATCAAACACATTATTCACAATGCAAAAGCAAGAAACTTAACCTGGTGATCAGGATTCTGAAATACAAAATTCTTCGGCTTCTCCACAAAGACAGTGCCGCTGGATGGATTCACTACACCGGCTAAAATCTGCAGAGTTCCAAGCAGTTAATGTAGATAAAACAGTTTAACTGGCATTTCTTTCTCATCAGTCTTAGATACACATAGAAACAACATCCAAAGATTTGACTTCTCCCTGAGTTTCATGCTAATAAATGCCAAGATTAGCTATCAGTCTGCACCAGATTAAAGGATGACTTAAGAATAATAATAGTTCATTAACAAAAGCTTAAGTCTTTGCTCTGAAAATGCAATGTTTAAGGAAAAGAACAAATGAAGGAAGAGAGAGGATAAAGACCTTCAAAAGGGTAGATTTACCACAGCCATTGGGACCAAGAATCATCCACAATTGTCCAGAAGGAATTCGAAAGGAGCAATCACGGAGGATAGGAACAGATATTCCTTGTCTTGTACTAACGGAGAAACAGAGATTCCGACACTCAACGGCGACATTATCGGAGAATTTGATTCTGTAACTACCGGATGGAGAAACACTCGATGATATAGAGCAGCGAAGAGGGATGAGACGAGGAGGAGATGCTGCAAATAAACACTGGCCATTCATTTTCTAAGGATTTGTCAAGAATTCGCTGTTAACAATAAGACTAGAAGTTGCAGCTTCCTTCTTCTTCTTCTTCTTCCTCCCAAAACCATCAAAAAATGTTTCGTCGAATCGATTACACACAAATTATGAGCAACAGAGAAACCGTAATCTCTCGCTGGTTCAATCCAAGCCAACCCGGTTTTCGATTCGATATCACGCGGTTCGGTTTGATAAAGCTAATAATTCGTAATTATTATGGATAAATAACTTTACCACTTTAAAATTGTGATTTGAATAGACTCAAAAAAAAGTTAACCATAAAAATTATTTTTATATGAGAGAAAAATATACTCCGATTCTGCCGATCTTGTTGACTTGGCTCCATCCTTATGTTTTTTCTTCTCAAATTTATCGGAACAATTATTTTGATGTGTGGTTAGTATATATACTACGAGACTACGAGTGTATAATTGTTGACAAGTGACAACAATAGAAAATATTTATCACCAGAGTTGGACAAAAATTAGTTATATTCCTCCAAGTAATAAGATAATATCTATCAATTTTTGAAACATGAGGTGTACCACTTTGTTTATGGTTTTTTTCTGTTTCATCTGTTTGATTCTAAGACCATCTTCAATGTAGAACTCTATATCTTATTCTAAAATAGAGTAACTTTATTTTAGAGGAAAGTTTCTCTCCAATGTATATCTCTATTTTTTACTCTAAAAAGGAATATTCTTAGAAATATTCTATTTCTATTTTATATACTAATACCTTTTAATTATATAATTTACAATTTGACCCCATATATTATAGATTTGCAAAATTCCCATAAAATATATTACATCATATAACAATAACTAGGAGCGGTCTCCGCGCCCGGCGCGGGTTGTAGGGATTTTAATACCATTATTAGTAATGAACAATTAATAGTGTTTAATCATAATATATATAATAGAAACATAAATGAGAAAAATGATATATTTAAACAATAGATATATTATTAAAATAATGATAGTTGCATAAAAAAATGCAATAAAAAACTGGATTTTGGTTGATGTTGTGTGTCATGATTTTTTCTCCACATTGCCTTAGTTTGGTTCAAAGGTGATGTGTTTAAGCATGTTTTTAATATGTGGGTTAGTCACTTAAAAAATAGACCACTCGTTAAAAACTGGTTTCGTGGGGATAAATTCAATCTGATGAATGTTGTCTATGCACTTTTGCAATGGAGTCTCGAAATCATCTCATGTTCCTCTGTGAGCGCTTCCGAGGTGTGAAATTTGTTTTTTTCTAGGCTTTATTCTCGACAAAAGTTGTTTTGCTCTTGGGCTAAGCTACTTTCTTGGACCTGACGCTCTTCCTCTCTTGAGACACTTAAATAATTGTCCATTCATCAAAGACAGGCTTCTTGGGAATAAATTCAATCTGATGAGTGTTTTCTTTGCATTTTTGCAACGGAGTCTCGGGATCACCTCCTGCTCCTCTGTAAGCTCTCCCCATGTGTGGAATTTGGTTTTATCTATGCTTTATCTATGAAAAATATTAGTTTAAAGAATATAAACTGTTATAATTGAATTTTGAAATTCTTTCAGGAAGTAGGATAATAAACCAGACGTGTTCTTTTGTTTCGAGGTAGTTTTGTCATTAATCATTAAAAATTAATTCGTCTTCTATAAATTTTGGCTTATCGTTAGAAAAATGTAGTGGTCATATCATCGTCTGTGTGATTTGATTCGCAAAATTAGAATATTCTCAAGGTGTTGACCTACATATATTAATATGTAATTGTGTATATGTTGTGTAATTTTCAAATGTTTGTTTTAAATATGTTATTTTGGTTTGATTAGGTGTCTTAAGGAGAACTACTGCACGTACATGCAATCAGGTTCTGTTCAACCCTACATGTCTAGAGTTTTGGAGGATGTGGTATTTTTTTGCTGGCAAGGATCACACATTTTGCACTTGAGATTCTGAGACTCCGTTGCAAAAGTGCAAAATGTGCTTAATAACTATAAATTTTTGTGATCCTTAACACAAAACGACTCCGCATTCCTGCAACTTTCAGCACACATACGGTTTACTTTTCATTATAATACTAAAAACAAACAATATGTATTAAAAATATATGTTGTTAAGTTTTTCAAACAATAAGCTGAAAACGAATTAGGGTGTATTTTGAATGCTTTTCAAAATAGTAAAAGTCAAAATATCATTATAATTTTAAAAAGTGCACTTTCAAATATGAAAAAATGAATAACATTTTTTCAAATTCAAAGAAACACTCTTATTCTTTCATTTTGAATTTGGAAATAGAGAGAATGTTACGTCAAAAATGTAAACTAATTCAAGAACCATAAAACAATCCGACCTTATTGTTCACAATAATGATTAGTGAGCTAAACTAATAATCAAACCTGTACTTTAATGGATCAAACAATAATCCACAAACAAAAACCTAATCATTACGTTGCAACAAAGGTCCATAATATATAAACTGGATATTAAAATAAATATGTAAAAATAAACTTGTCAGCACCAGACGCATTCAGTCATTTGTTTCTTGATAATCAAGGAATCAAAATAATAATCTATGACTGAATTGAACTGAAAGAACATATTTCGTATGAATTTGGATATTCTATAGTATAAGTTAATAGAAATTTCACCTTTAGATATATAAATTTAGTTGGTGTCGATTAGTCGGTTGGTACTTGCTTTCCCATTCGTATTACACGGGTAGATAAAAATCGTTGACAAATAATACACAACGAAACGTGCTCGTCTCTTTACAGTACACCAACGTGCTCCACCTACACCATCGTGAAAGCTATGTTCTGGTTCGCCGATATCAACTCTTAACATATCAAGTCATCACTGTCTCCTCCAGGAACAAACCAAGTTCTCCACCTTTACACAAACCATTTTTTCTATGGGAGATGGACACTTTGACACACTTTTGCCAACATTTCTTAAAATTGTTTTTATAAGAAGTCCAATATTACCCACCACTCTCTATCTCAATGACGGTTAAGAACATCCGCTTTGAAACATGCTTCTCGTCTTCCTTCACCAAACCATCTCACGATCGCTCTCTTCTTCATCTTGAAGCCCAAGCCAATATCTCAATGTCTCAAACTTCTTATGTTAACCATCTTCATTACCTTACCTTCCTCCTGATTCAAGCACTTCTTGCAGTCCTGTCTCACTGCCACATCTTCCGCTAGTTGGTACAGTACCAAACAATTACTGTTCTATCTTAGCCATGCATTTCTCGAAGAGCTTCAATGTTCTCCAAGTGTAGTTCATGATCTTCTTTCTTTTTTTTTTAATCATGCACATATGAATGTTAGTTCTTAGTCAATATACCATCAACAATCACAACCAAAAACAAAGAAAATCCAGATATCAGATATGTCGAAAGTGAATCCAAGTATATGAGTAAATTCCATCTAAAGAAGGAAATAGAAACATACCTTTAAATCTCTCTCGGGTCCAGCTAAGAAACTTGATTTATTCAAGTTTGTCGCAGACAAGAGTATTTACAACAGCAAAGAGGCCGCCTTCTCCAATCCAGGATCCAACCTGGAGTAGTTAAAGACCAAAATATATATTTTAGAAACATGCTCACGTAACCTATTTTGCCGCTAAAGTTGCGATCAGTTTCCTCCGCTTCAAATTCTGCCCAAATCTGCAAAAACGAAGGCCAATTTCAAATTAACTATATTAAACATAGAAAACCAAAAAAAAAGAGCCTAGACATGAACCAACAATAAAATGATAAAAACCGAGACCGAAGAGATATTAAGCAAAACGGGAATAATGGAATAACTTAATGAGATAGGAGTAATAGAATCTCCTCATCCTCCTCCTTCTCCCTGTATATGATGGTGATACTTGCAAGAAGAACCAAATTTACATGTTCCTGGTCCATAAAATGCTATCTCAAAGAAAGTAATCAAAGTGAGAATTTTATACACTAATTATAGTATTGTTGATGAAAGTTAAAACCAAAGTGCATCAATGAGTACCTGACACACGTGCTGTACCATTATCTATAGAAACTTTGCAGCTTATATTATGAGAATTGACATACAAGACCTAAAAAGTGAAACTAAAAACATCAATGAGAGCTTCCAAACAAAAACTATTTGAAGTTTTACGATACAATGTTAACGGACTATTTTACTTGTGCTGAATCAAAACTCACCTACCTGCAAAATTTCTACGGTTGGCTGGTTGGTATGTGATATAGAAGAAATACCGAAATTATTTTCTTTCACTCTAGGGAGAACTGGCTCAGCTACTTCCATGGAATAGAAAGAACATTTGGTGAGATGTGATAAATTCCCCATGGTAAAGCTCATCTGACCAACTGTTGTTGATGGGTTGAGGAACTTCAGTGCTTAAAGAGATAAGTTCCATTATGAGCAATCCCTGTTAATTTTCAGAAAATGATCAAAAGTTGATCTAGAGTCCAAGATATATGCAGGACTTAGGAATAGACAGTACCTTTATCATTACTTCGCGTATGAACATCTCCACAAACTCCTCAGCCATCTTCTTTGTGATCATATCAATATGGCAAGTACCAAACCTTAGAGACCACACATGAGAATCAACTATTGAACTTTTGTTTTTGGGTCTTACCAAATGTAGAGACATTCCAAAAATTAAATACAGGGATGCCACCACAAACTCCAGCATCACTTGAATCTTCCTTAGAGCAAGAGAACTATACAAGTGACTCGGTACCTAGCTTGGTATAACATCTCAGAGATCTGCTTGCATTTACCATCTCAACAACAACGGCTACCTGCATTTTTCTAAAGTTTTCTTTATAGATTCCAAATTACAAGAGAATAAATTTCCCAAATTTACAAGATTTAGCATTGTCACACTCACCATTTCCTTGTACGACGATAAAAGCTTGATTCGATAAGCACTCTGAACATAGAAAGACTTAGTTTGTGAGTTAAAACGAAAGAGATTGAACGCATGAGAATGAAACGAAAGACGAAGAGAGTATTGAAATGCAACTTTTCACCTGTTGCTTAGACAGCTTCTTCAAAGCGTTCTTCTTGATATCAAACATGTTACTCGACACACCAAGCTCCATCATTGGCATATACCTATTGCCATGGAAAAACATAATATTAAGAATCAATCTTCTTACTCAAACACTCCTCAAATCACCAAAGTGAAACCAATTCCAAAACGATTGCTTTTTAGACGTTCTAAAGCAGAGAAAAAAAAACATCAGTGAGAGCTTCCGAACAAATGAAATCATAGATTCTGTTTCAGCGATATCTAATAAACTACTTTTCACCTATTAACAAAAATACTCCATCAAAATAAAATAAAAACACATAGGAAGAAGAAAAAAAGAAAGACAAACACTTTATCAAAGCCAGAGAGAAAGAGAGGGTTGATTACCAACTCGAGTTTTGTGGGTCTCGACCCGTACCCGCAGACACCGTTCTTAAGTAATATATATACAATTGGTCGTTCGGGATACGATTCACTTCCACCACCGTTTTGCAACCCTAACCGCTACATCCAAGCTACAAACGCCACATTAAAAAAACAAAAACTTTCAATTCACACATAAACCCTAATCATACACTAATCTTAAAGAAGACAAAGAGTGCCATTAACGTTACCGTTGATGCTGGTCACGTTTTCTGGGGCGGTCCATCCGTTACCGTTGATGTTGGTCACGTTTTTTGGGGCGGTCCATCCAAGTAATGAATCCGACCGCAAACCATCATCGCCGGTGCCACCGTACCTGAGTGGTCTACTTTGAAATCAGACCGATTGTGAGCCGTAATATTTCACGTTTTTCTCTCTACAAACCTACTTGTGTATGCAAATTCATCCTGCAATCATACGTAATGTAAACAACATTAATATTTTTATAAAAATCGAGCCATAAATAAATTACAGAAGAAAAAAAAACAGGGGTTAGTTGTGATCTAAAGGTGACTACCAATCCAGGTATTTATATAAAATTAAGAGGCGGTGTAATATCTACAACAAAAAAAAGGAAGATTTATATATTTTTTAAGAAGCGAATCTATATCATAAAAATTAATAATTTAAAATTGTCTTATTCAATATTATACATATTAATTTTAAGTAACGTTTCATTTTATTTTAAGATAAAGATGGAATAATAACATAACGATTTAGATTTACTACTATATCTTACATTTGTTTAGATTTTCCGTCATTATCGACATAAAATATTTAAAAAATAAAATTTTATTAGAGATATGAATCAGATTTAAAGAATATACGTAGGATTGTTTTGATATTTTTTGCCAATATCTACTTATCAAAAAAGGAAAATTTAATTTTTAACTCATAATTATCACAAACGATTGGTTGGGAAAGAAAGAAAAAAACAAAAAAAAAACGGAAAACAAAACGAAAAAAAAAGAAAAAAAAAGGAAGACACACGACCATTTTCCGTCTCCTTCTACGAAATCCCACGTTTTTCATTACGATCAATGGAGGTTAATACACTTTCATCGAGTCTATATTCATTATTCGTGCATGATCCAATCAGATAATTCAAGGTAATTTTAAAGAACACCCTCTTTTATTAGCTTGAACTCTATGGTGCAGGATAGCATCAATAATTCAATATGATGGTTTGAAGACTTGGCATGGACAAGATATTAATTAAGAGTCGTCTTTCCATCATGTCAGATTCGATCAAAAGATGATGTTCTATCACTAAATTGTCGATTCTCTCTGGTTATATGCTATATTTTAGGTTTTCAAGTCTGGTATGTATATTAAAAAGTTTACATGCGACGAAGAACATGATGATGAGGTACGATGAACATCTTCTAAATTGGTACGTAAATTACAATCGATCCATTTTTTTTTAGGTTTTCTTATTTTTTCGTGTTTACGAATATTATTAATTTTAAAAAATGTTACAATCGATCCATTTTTTTTTAGGTTTTCTTATTTTTTCGTGTTTACGAATTTTATTAATTTTATAAAATGTAAATTATATCAAATATTCACTTATTAGGGTTATTTATGTAATTGAACATTAGTTGATATTCGACTTGATTTAATAGAAGGTATTTAAGTAATTACGTAAAATCAAGGACTCAACAAGAGCCGAGAGTCCGACACATCAGCAAAAACACTTCTCAAATATTGTTATATATAGATATAACATTACAAATTTTATTTTAAATAACACCATTAGAATATTTTTCCCACATATGATCAATTAAAGCATATAAATTTAAATTTAGTACTTGTTTGCTTGTTAAGTTTATAAAATTATTTTAAATTTAGTACTTGTTTGCTTGTTAAGTTTATAAAGTTATGTGTTGTAATTGTTGTTTATAAAATGATTATATGTATTAAATAAAAAGGTTTAAATTTGAGGGACTAAAGTATAAATAAAAAAAGTTGAACTCAAAAATAGAGTTGAAAATAGAGTTACTCCATATATAGAGTCAATCTGCAGAAATCTCTATTTTAGAGTCAATCCCAATTATAGAGTAGGGTTGGAGAAGAATTTTGCATTTTTACTCTAAAATAGAGTAGGGTTGGAAATGCCCTAAACCATGTTCAAGGTAGTATATAATTTCCTTTTTTATTGATTGTTTGCTATCAAAAAAAAAAAAAAAAAAAAACAGCTCTAGAACATGACGTAATTTAGAACTATAGTATTACTAATTTCTTATATCTATAACCTAACAATTTGTTTTTGTTGATAAAAATTAGAGGTAGAAGCTGGAGCACCTCCCCAAGACTGTTGGAATCTCGTCACATTCCCTGGAAAAAATGTGATTTTCACGGGAAGAAGAAATGCTTCAAAGAAATGGAATCAAAGTATCAACAACGTTTTCTTCAGTGCACATGTAAAAACTTAAAAGAGGAACCCAAATCACCAAAGGACCAACATGACTGCATTTGTCAAAGAGCTAATCCTTATGATTGTAATTCCTAATCTTAATTTTTTTAGAAATTTCAGCCATCAATATTAAAATATATTTGGTAGTTAATAAATAATAAGAAAACTACGTACATGAGTTTTTGACTTTTTGTTGTTCACGCATAGCTTGAAATTGGTGTTAAGTTAATGTGGTTGTATCAAAACTTCTTCTTTCGTATAACCGATTTCAGTGATGTAAGAATAATGTTTGTCGTTTTCCTGTTTCAAGACTGTTTTTTTTGAAAACATATGAAGACTGTTTTAGTATTTCCATTTAAGTTTAAACTCATCTAGCTGTTTCATAGAAGACCAGTCCACTATGTAGCACCACGGTGCGTTCCTACCGGAGCCGACCGGATAGCCGATAGGGTTTATCAAAAAAAAAAAGTTTAAACTCATCTAGCTGTTTCATAGAAGACAAAAAAAAAAAAAAAAACGTTTTCGTGTATATGTAGCTTAAACTTCTCACATTCCAAATTTTCAATCACAACAAAAGACAACAATTTTATTTAGCATGTCTCGCTACCAGTGTTTTTTGGATCGGATTGATTTTGGTTCAGGTGAAAGAACATGTATTCAAGACTTCGATACCATAAAGCCAGTCCATGAAAACAAAAAATTGACTTCGATTATTAAATTTACTATATATTTTAGTCACATGCACCTTCATATCTATGTTCTTAAGATGATATGACGTTCTAAAATCTTTCAGATTGTGCTTCATAATGGTTTTTCCTTCTTTAATAGACCATTATGTAAAATATATAAGGCTTATACAACATCTAAATATCCAAGTATTCAGATATTTACAAAAAGATCCAAGGACTACCATAGGAAAACTGAACATCAAAGAGACAAAAAAGAGTTTACAAATTACTAAATTAGAACGGAGCTGTAGCAATGTCCCAACCATGAGGACTCATAAACATCATCCTTTCGTCTTCATCATCATCATCCTCATCCTTCAGATTAATGCATCGTCCTCCTCTTTCTTCACTAGCTCTTAAACTCTCATGCGTCTCCTGCTTTTTTTTTTTTTTTTCATCACATCATCCTTTAATTAACGTTACAAAGAAAAAAAAGAGAAATTCAAGAAACCCCAAGAATTAATCAAGAAAATAATTAATATACCTTTGTGAAAATATCCATAGCTTCCTCCATTGTCTTCGTCTTCATCACATAAATTGCTTCTTCTCGAGCATTTTCTAATTGATCGAGATGCAACGTCATGGGCTCTGTCTCGATCGAAGACCTCCTCTCTAACATGTCCATTCTCTTGCTTACTTCCATATCTCTCAGACTTTATAGCTTGGAAACAAAACAAAAAGTGTTGATGAATATCTCTCACAGTCTATGATTGATTCTATATATAAGAAGAAAAGAGTGGATTTTCTAAAATAAGTAATGAATCTTTTAGAAATAATCTCTCATGTTTTTTATAAGTAAGTACGATGTGGGGACGTAAGTAAGAGACAAGAAGATGTATCACGAAACGTGGCGTGGTGGGGCGGATCACGGCGGTGGATTGAGAAACACGTGGCGTGTGAAGAATGGTGATGGCTATGCACGTGTCGTCGGAATGGTTTGTAAGATGGCTATCAAATGCGATTTTTCGATTTGCATGAAGACCGTTGAATGTTGTTGATAGATAACGTAACGAGAGGGTTCTTCTTCTACTTCTTCCCACGATCTTTATTCTTCTATTTATTTTTAAATGGAGTTGGTCGGCGTGATGAGATATTTTCGTTTCTTTTTAATAATGATACAAGAATAAGTACGTGGAAAGTTTTTGTTTTATGTTATTAATTAACAGGGACATTATGGTGTGACGGTCATCCGTTTTGGACTCATTTGATAGGTTCACTAGAAACACCAACGATGAGAAAAAAAAAAAACATAATCATTTTTGTGCATATATACAACTTAATTTATTCTAATCAACAATATTTACAATGATATTTTTACATTAATATAGGTTTGATATACGATGAGAAATGGTCTACTAGTTTTTACTAGTATGATCGCCTTGTTCTATAGTCCATTTTTTTAATTTATGAGCAGTAGTTGTAAATTAACTACAGTAATATTTGATATAACCAAGTATCTAAAGATAAAAAATGTTTTAGTAGTATATACTAAAAATTATTCGTATAAATGTATATTGATTTACTCATAATAATGTTTACATGCATATAATAAAAAAAATACACTGAATTTAGTATTTTTTTTTGTTCTTCTACGAAATGTAAATATTTCACTTTTGAAAATTTATATATAACACCAACCCTTTTTTTTTGGTTTTAATCCCAACAGCTTTACAAAAAAAAACATAAGTAGACAGTTTAAGACTAAAATGCAGAACCTCTCAAGCAAATCCTCCTTATAAGCAATGAATGCTTTTGGCTCTGTCAATTGCATCTCGCACCTTTCGCATTGGTTCATCATACAAGTAAGCTGGGTTATCAAACTCTGATGCCAAGCTTTCTTCCCCGAGCAATGCTCGAAACGAGTCTGCCACAGATGATGAAAGCGATTCAAGATTGTATCCTCCTTCCAAGAAAAACACACACCGCCCTCCGCATACTTCTTTCGCTAACTGTTTAATATCTCTTGCCAATGAGTAGTATGTTCCAGTCGTGAATTGTAGATTTGCTAGTGGATCCAGGACATGAGCATCATACCTTAAGCAGATAAAAGCAATGAAGGTGGAATTGTTTGTAAGAATATGATGATACAGTTCAAACATAAATGAAAAACGTTTTACGCTCACTCACCCAGCAGAAACAAGAATAAGGTCTGGCTTAAACCGTTGAGCACATGGAACAATGATTTCTTCAAAAACAGTTCCCATTGCAATATCACCAGAACCTCCAGGTAAAGGTAAATTTAGAGTGGTACCTTCACCTTTTCCTTTACCTATGTCACTGATTTTCCCTGTCCCAGGGTAGCTTCCATCCTGCATTTTTCATTATATAAATGACTTGTGTTGATTTCTGAAATCTAACTCTGTGGTATTCAATCATTCATCTTGAGGTTTTAGTTGAACATTCATGTGTTATTTAATCAATGATTGTGAAATACAAGCTATGGCTAATTGTCAATGAACTAACTAGAAACATGTCATACAAAAATGTTAAGGCTTACCTGATGAGTTGACAAAAAGAATATATCAGGGTCCTCAGAAAATGCATCATTTGTGCCATTCCCGTGGTGAACATCGAAGTCAATTATGAAGACGCGCTTCAGACCATGTGTGTATTGGGCGTGACGAGCTGCGATTGCCACATTACCAAAAACACAGAACCCCATTGGACCTTTTGGCACGGCGTGGTGTCCAGGAGGTCTAATCAATGCAAAACCAGTGGGTGGATCTGGGCTGTTTCTGGATGCTGCGATCTGAAACAAATAATCATATAAGAAATCTATAACTATTTCCAACATAATGCAACTGAAGCAGTAAAAGCAGACTAACATGGTGAGACGAGACATCACCACTGAATCAACTAAAGCCATTCCGGCTCCTGCTGCGATAAGTGAATCTTGGAATGTCTGGCACAGAGGGAAGATATTTAGGTAGGAAAATGGTTCCTTTGGAGATGTTAACCGATGAGCACAAAGCAGTTACCGTTGAAGTGGCATATGTTGGTCCAGATCCTTCGATGAATATTAGCCCCGAATCTGAAGCCTCATCCATTGCCTAAACTAAGAATCCCTTTGTAATGGTCAGAATTAAACTCATACATCCTCATTTTGGAATCATACTTACTTTGCTATAATGTGTCAATGTAATGGTTACATATGAAATAAGAAGTTATGAGTAAATGCTAATAATATAACATGAGGAAAATTAATAACCTTCTCTAGGCCAAAGACATAAGCCTTGTCGTGAACATTTGCAATGTCTTCTATAGTTGCAGTCTTGAAATTTGCGAGTTCAAGAACCTGTGAGCCACGGAACTGAAATACACGAGGAAAAAAGATTCACATATGAGAATTCATTGATAGGCCCTAGGACATTTTCAGTAAAAAGTGACAGAGATCTTCACCATCGAAGAAGCAAACCAACAAAAAAAAGAATGGGGAATTGAGGCTTTGACACTGAATGGTGTATACAATAAAAGCAGACCTATGACGTATATCGAACATTTTTCGGAAAGAATCGACTTGTTTGCAGACTGAAATATATAGCATATGAGAAGAAATGTGCAATTCTATTCAACTAACTCCAGAAAAGTACATCCATCCTACAAAATTTCAAGCTAAGGTAACTTTCCACAAGCATTGCAATTCAGAGAGATAAGTTGGTCTCCATCCTCTTGAGATTTGCCTTAATATTTGTAAATCTCGGTTAACCAAACTTCCCTAGCTACAGGTGCATATAGAAACAATAGAGATGGATTGTTGCATGCCTTAGGAGTGAGCTCATTCTTCTCAAGAGCATTAACAATGGCAGGAACTCTTGCGCTGCATTCTGGATGTGATTTCTGCGAGCAAAAAGATTGCTTAAAAGAATGTGCAAAAAAGGATTGAGAGGGACAGAGAAACAACCAAATATATAGCAAGTAAAAACCTTGTTATGACCCAATGCTGCAGATACACTATATATGAGACGAGCATCGGTTAACTGCTGGATAGACGGTAAGAGAGGTTCCTTCTCTGTACTAAATGAGCAATTAACGGAAGCTCCATTGGGTTTCAAAAGATACTTCCTCGACTGATTTTTCTTGCATATGTCTCTAGTCCCAGAAATCCCAGCACTTCCTAAAGCAATTAAAACCTCATTTATCATTTCATGAAAAATTTCAAATATAAAGAAAAACAGTGAGAACATGATATGGAAACTAATCACTCCTTTACTTGTAAAATTGGGCGTGAAACATCCCAAAGAAACAAATTTCGCGTTTCTTTACACAAATTGTTTAAGATCGAAAATAAAATTCAGATAAACCCTTTCTGCTGAGAGTTATCTAATGGAAATTTTAGCCGCAAAACGGTATTGAAGAGAAGAAGGAAGAGATTTACCAGGAACAAAGAGTGGTCGGACAACTAGCGCCATGGACAGGAGTTCCCCTCAAGCTCATAGATTACTGAAGACAGCCATCAAAAAGTTTAAAAGAAAAACCAAAACTTTGTTTGATTTTCTTTGTTAAATAATGGATAGGTTTTCTACGGTCCTACTTCCACAAGAGCATACATAACACATTATTGAAGGTATATTAGTGAAAATTGAAGGATCCTTCGGTTTACAAGTACTAAAGGTGCATGGTCATTTGGAGGGACTTCTATTTCCGTAATTGTCCACAAGAGATTTGGAAAGGCAAAATGAGTTTTTTTTTTTTTTTTGTCAACCTTGGGCCACAACTGGCCGGCCCATTAGCCTAATCCCTACAAATTGTAAGGAGAGGGACTCGATCCCTGGTGTGATGGTGCCTGTCCATCAGTGGACTTATCATCTGCCACTAGACTAAGGCAAAATGAGTTTTTATAAAAACAAAATGATAATAGAAATTTTAAATTACAAGGCATTGCAATTATGGAATACAGAAAGAAAGCTAAGTAGTCCCTATGAAGACATCAAATTCTTTCCCCAAGCAGTGACTCCAATAGAGCCGCCTCTTCCTCCTGCACAAACATTACTTACCACGTTCAACATCATTTTATCATCAAATACCTCTTAAATTAAAAGTTTGTTGAATTCTCCACGTACCACCAAGGCATTGAATTCGGTTTCCTCATCTATGGCGCTGATCACAGCTGGATCGTCTAAGAGCTCCTGCAACCCATTCGCATTAGAGTGGTGAGCTTACTTCATATTGACCATCACACACAAATCTTATTTAGAATTGTAAGCACTTCTCTCTTCTAAAAAACAGTGCACCAAAAGTAACCACCCAAGAATCACCAAGTTTTGTTTCCCTTAACTCTATATTGTCTACTAAACATCATTATTGTGACTAGTATCTCCGCCAAGACCTATCGCATATCTAGTTGGATCAATTGCACAAGTCTCTTCTTCGCTGAATTCACAGACTGTCAAAGTCTGGTGGTGCAACTTTTGCTTAAAACCTTTTTATTAACCCAACGAAGGGTCAAAACCAAATTGCAGAAGAGGTTCAACTTACATCATCAGCGATTTGCAGCAGCCCATTCTGATCCTGCATAGATAAAATTGCCATTTATCACTCTGTTTTTTTTACATTTGTTCCTCAGATTCCATATTTCTTCTATAAAAGTAACATCTGAAAACTGCTACAGCTAGGCATAACTTTCACAATAAACAACTAAAAATAACAAGCTTACCTTAGCAGCAACAAAGAGAAGTGGATCTGAAGGTGTGTAGACCATATAGTGTGATCCATCCTGAATCAGAATTTATATTTAGACAACTAAAAAGGGGCACATCATACCTCTAAAGTTTCATGTTCTACAAAATTCAAACTATACATTTCACAATCAGAGTGTAGTGGTCACCTTTGGATCCACAATGGAGCACTAACTACAAACTTGGTTCAGAAACATTGAGAAATTGAATGTCATGTTTAGTGTTTAAAAGTCACTATAATAGTGATATCTCCAAAAACTGTTCAAAATACTGTAAAAAGCATCTCACACATATTAATAAGCAAAATGAGCAATGGTATACCAGATGGAAACACGTAATCTCAACCCCTTCAGTTGGCAAGCCTTCAACATCCTGGCCATCATCTGCAACTAGTTGATGCTTGAAACATTTATTATATAAAAAAGGTAGGACGCAGAACTTTAAACAATAAGTATATGAGCAGACAGGTAAAAACACCTCACAGTTAGAATGAAGCAGATTGAGGGGACTAAACATGAGGAAGAATGCAGATAACCACATACAATTACTAAGATGCAAGTTCACATGACCATGATATTGATATCTGATACATAAATATAAAAATCATGAATTCGTGATATCCTATATCCACCGTATAATGAAGCCAAAATCATTTAATGTGCTCATATAGAGCAGACACCACAAAATATTAATCAGAAGTATTTTCGTCATGCGTAAATATCAGAAGAAAAAGGGTGTTGCCTGTGCGAAAATCAAAGACATTATCTTCAGTGTAGCAAAAGCCTCCCCTTGCAGTGTAACAGAACCTGATTTACAGTGATAACCCATATCAGACACAAAGAAGAGACATAGGATGTTAAATGATGTCATGCTTGAAACAGGGTACAGTCATACCCGCTGTGTACTAGATGCATATGGATCTTTGCAAGAGCATAAGCAGCAGCAGGAAGAAGAGATTCAACCTCTTCATCACTGACCTAAAAGGAAGAACCAACCTAGATAAGCATAAGAAAGGTCCTGACCGAAGCAATTTTCATCTAGAAAATGACTATTCTACAGTTAAATTAATATTCGAGTTCTCAAAAGCATAGTGTTCATGCATCCAGAAGGTCTCTCTACACCAGGAGATGTGCAGTCTTGAAGAAACACGTGAAAAAAAGATTCATAAAGGAGAAAACTTACAGCTGACCATCCATCAATATTTGTGCTCTTCAAAATCTGAACTGGCCTGAAGCAAGAAATGAATCAATCAAACAGAAAAGAAGAAGAAGTAGCTGAAAGGATAAGAGAAGAAGAAAAACAGTACTCACGTATCCACAGGGCAAAGAAGCATACAATCCTCTCCTTTACTACTTGTAAATACTCTTCTTATCACACAATCCAAAGGGCTATTGTTTGTTGGATCAATCTGTCTCACAACACAAAACTTTTTAGATTCTCTTTTTCCCAAACACCAAAACTTATTAAGGTCCTTAAAAAAAAAATGAAACTTTTTGACTCACCACAGTGGCGATACGCTTCTTAGAGGCCATAAGAACCCTACCAGTTTCATCAATCACAAAGCCAGCAGGTGGTTTGGGTATGGTAGGAGGAGAGTTAAATGTTGCAAGAGACCTCGAAGAAGAAGAATAATCGGCATCATCATCTTCCTCAAAAGCGTCTTCTGCATCTCTCAATTCCCAATTCTCCACAGGTTTCGCAGTTTTCCCCTTTTTCTTACGTTTCTTGTTCGTACTACTACTACTACTACTATTATCACTACCAGTAGAGGCCTTCTTCGTCGGCTGTCCCGTCTGTGGATTCAAAGCAGAGGTGATGAGGAGACGAAGATGGCGGGTATTCTTCGGAGATGAGACTGATAACGAGACGGGAAACGAAGAAGACGGGTTGAGAAATTGATGGGTATTGGAATAGGAGAGAGTCGAATTTGGTGATGGTGAAGTTAAGGAGTATGAGAAAGCCATGGAAGAGAGAAAGAGAGAAACTTGGGTCTTCTTTCGGAGTTGAGAGAGTGAGCAAGTGAATTCGCCGGCAACGGAGATATTTGTGGTAAAGTTGTGATTTTTCGAGTAAGAAGGCACTTAACAACAGTCAAAACTAAATTTCTACTTAAAAGTTAAAAAAGTCATTATGTAATATAAGTATCATGTAATTCAATAATCATAGGATTTGATCCAACCAGTACATACAAATATCTAATTACAACTATCAGCTCTTGTCCCAACTACTATATAGCATTTCTCAGTATTCATATACTTGAGAAGCTTTTAGTGAAGCAAGTTCATCGCAATCCGCTGGCATCCATCCGATTGATTGTTTCTCGTTATCGTAGATTATCATCTGATCTTGCATCGATATATCTGTTAAATAAAAGAGAGAAACAAGATTTAATACTATCTCGAAACCAAGATCCGGAAATTGCCAATGGATGTAATAAAGACTGTACCGCCGATGAGGTTTAGGTTCTGGAGACCTATTTCTGTGCCATTCAAGATTCCCAAACATACATTCCCCTTCATCTGCAACATTTATATGAATCGCCTTTTAGCACTCTGTGAAAAAACAAAATCGTGGAACGGATAGAAAACAGGATAGAGTAATCGATGCTTACAGAAATTATTAGATAAGCTTCTGGGGGTATCTCAAACAGAGTTTTTGATCTCCAGCCTGTTTTGAAGCTAAGAGCTAAAGGCTTGAAATACTTCTTGACTTCTTCAATGCTCATGAATGGTCTACGTCCTTGCCAGCATAGAGGCAGCGTGTGATCATCCCGTGCTTCTTTCAACGGTTTTCCGCTTAGTTCTCTCTTTAGCTACAAGCAGAACAAAAAGACTTTATGAAAAACTGGTCTCTTCTCTATTTATCCTCCAAGGTTACAGCAAGTTCCTTACCAAATATGTTACAGCTTGGTACGCCTTGGAATTGAAGTATGTGTAAGAGCTTCCACTGTCAAAGACTGTTAATAGATTCTTCAATCCCGTTGTTCTTCCCCCGAATAGAAGTTCCCCTCCCATTGCAGGAGAGTAGTGTTTTCTGAGAAAGAAAGTTTCAAGATTATAGCAAAAAGAGAGAAAGAAGTGATCGGGTAAAAGATAAAAATAAGAGAAGAGCTATCTAATTACGAGTATTCACGCGACATTGGTGTCCAAGAGACTCTTGAAGAATCATAAAGATCATCGCCAAAAAAGAGAATTCCTCCACCTAAACTGCTTAGGCAATGACCGATAACATTCTTGACATAACCTTGGCTATGAAGCTGTGACAGAATGCTTACTTTCCCCCTACCAAGTCCCAGTACTCCATCTAGTGGATGATGACTCGATGCCCCTGGGATTTGATCGTATCCGCATCTGTTGCACAGAAAACTCCATTGAGGATTTGCTAGGAACTACAAATGCTTAAATCAAACTGAACATTGTCGGTCCAAGGTTGTAGAAATAGATATATACCCTAGAGCAAGACGGGGAGTGAGCCGGAGACCCTTTGTATAGTTCATAGAGAAGACATCTCTAACAAGAACACCGAGAGAAGATCCTCCATCAGCATACTCAACCTCATAGTCACATTGCTCTGGAGTCTCACATCTCTGATTACTATTCAGATGCAAAGCCTTACACAGTGGATCATTGCAGGGAATTAGATCGCTACTAGGCTGATAGAGTGGATGAGGCGCCTGAAATAGAAAGAGATCACGAATTCGCTATATGAAACTATGACAATGGATCCGGATAAAAAGAGAACTGAAGATGAAAATTATTATTTTACCTCCAAGCAACGAACACAAGGAGCATCACATTGGAGCCAAGTGAGATCACTACCAGTATCAAGATCGAGATAATAAGGTCTTGGTGGTTGTCCTATGTTGATGGTAACATTATAATACCTGTTTCAACCAATAAGAAATTGTTTTAGAGAATTTTAGAAATGAGAGCAATAATTTTGTGAAGTTGAGTTTGGAAATATATATATATACCCAAGAGGATAAACGTTCCCATGAACTGGGAACACGACTGAAGAGACAGCTCTGGTGAATCTATCTGAGAATCCTGCAGTTTTCCTCCATCTGAAATCAACAGCCGACGAGAAACCCAGAACCAGAGACATCACAATCAACAAAATCATAAAACGAACATTCATTTTCTCCATCTTTTCACGGCTTGTGGCAAAATAATAAATTTAAGAGAAATTTATTTGTATTGGCCAATCACGTGATGGTGATGATGAAATTGGAAAACGACAGAGGCCAAGACATTTACGAGTTGAAAGATATTTATTACAAAAAATGAAATGTCTTTTTGTTGATGCATATGGGTTTTTGCACAAGCAAAGAAACCTTTTTTATTTGGTTTGCAATGAGTAGACAGGTAATAGGGATTCTTGGCTTAAACCATAGGGGACTTGAGGAAAAAATATTCCAGGTTGTTTCTTAGTATCTGCGAAAATCAAGAATCGGGTTAAGGAATATTGCTGATGAGAAAGAGGAGAGCCAAAGCATATCTTGCAGCTGAAGTAAGCAATCTTGTTGGCATCTTTCTTCGGTTCAAACTGTCACAGAACAATGAGTGAGCTTCACAATCATTAAGCCATCCAAGTGAAGAAGCACCTTTTCACAATCTTCCTCATCATCATCATCATCCACTTTTAGCTTTCTGGATACAAATCTGCCATTACAGAGGAAAACGATAAATTTCAAAGCTCAAAAGCATCTTCATTTGGCTATTAACAAATTAGAGGAAAGCTATTGAGACATAGAGATCTTACAGTAATGCCCAGAGAACAAGAGTGTAGATGGAACAACAGTCAAGAAAATCGTATGTTCATTCGACATCATCTTCATCATCCAATCCATTTCTATAGCTAACCAACTCTGCATCAACCTTAGCCTTTCTAGGACTCATCAACACAAGCTCAGCTAATCTCCTCCTAGCTAAATACACATCATTTGGTACAACCAATTCCCCTCTCTTATACGCCTCTCTAAGAAACACCGTATGAAGCTTCCCGTAATTCCCACGAGTCGATATGTAAAATATCCCCTGATGTTGCAGAAGAAACTCTTTCAATTTCTTAGGCAAATTCATAACATTCCTAAAATGAGCAATTCTCTCAAGAGTGATCTTCTTCTCCACAGTCAACGAAAGCAATTCATGGATACAAGCAACAGCTCTCTTCTCTAATCTATTCTGGGCTTCCATCGATCTCAAATCGTAACCCGAAATATCCTCATAGGGTGACCAATAAGGAAGCCTCTGCCATTTCCAAACAGCAATTCGAAAATACTTTCCAATCTTAAATCCAGGAGGAAAATTCACAACGAATGAGAATCGAACATCCTCTGCATCAATTCCCTTTGATCTATACTCAATCTCTCTAACTCTCTCTATTGCACAAATCGATAAATTAGGATCCTTTTCCACAATCTCAATGTACTTATCTCGAGTCTCTTCAGCATCAATGAGCCTAAAGAACTGTGGATGTTTCAGAATCACAGAGTACTCGAAATCTTCAGGGAGTCCAAACTCAGTCCGAGCAATCCTGACATGTTCAAGACGGATCCGACCCGTATTCGACATCATAACGAGTTTCCGCAACCGGGTCACGACATCGGGTATTTGGGCGAGAACAGCTTCGTGCTCGTGACGGATTTGATCCAAAGCTTTACGGGTTAATCGACAGTAGAGGATTCTTTGAACTGGGTGCTCGTAAATCTCGAATACGTGTGGGAATTTGAGGAGGAAAGCACCTGGTTCGTGTTGCTTGAAGCCGAGACCTAGACGACGAGCGAGCGTGTCTAGAAGAGAGATTGCGATTGTGTTGTTGGGTTGAGAGAGAATCAAGCTGTGAAATTTGATGACTTTACGGATTTTCTTCTCGACTTCCATGTAGTTGTCGTAGCCATGGTCACGAACTCGATCCTGTTTTCTGGGAATGGTGGTGGACTGAGAGAAGGGTTTAACGAGAATTAGATGGAAAGGAAGAATCGTCGTCGCCAGTTTGCTCTTAGGGTTTAAGGTTTTGGAAGCACTTCTCAGAAAAAGCTTCATCCTTTTTTGTCTGAAAAGGCTCCAAGAGCAGCGAGTCAGGTTTGGGTATTATAGTTCATCATCAGTCACTATGAGACTAGGTTTGGGTCGGAAACTGGATATCGGGTCGGATCCTGGACTGATCCGGCTCATACCACATGCTTCTTAGTATAGCTCAGGAGGAATGACAGTTTTACTCCAGTCCAGTGTACATAGTTTCAATAAAATTGGAAAAAACTAGAATGATGTTGTGAATGTGTGTGTCTCTCTCTCTCTCCATTATTTACATTTAACAGTGGCAGAGGAAGATGCATATTTATGTATAGACAGCTTTGACGAGTGAAACGATGACAGTAACAGCATCAAGTTTACCACCTTTGTGTCCATCATATCCTTCTTCTTTAGCTGCGTCTGCAAATGGCGTTCTCTCTGTCTCAGATCGTCCCACTTCTTGTGCCTTTTCAGCTACCAACTCTGCTATATTCTGTTACACCGCACAAACATTAGTCAAACTTATATATCCCCAACACATTGATGTAACAATTTATAAGCTTTTCATCTCAAATCCAATTGAATAACGAGCAGAGTGAAGAGAAGACCCGAAACTACTTGGCCAACCAAAAAAAAGAGAGAACAGAATTCAAGACATTGAGCACCTGAGGTTCCAAACTCTGTTCCAGTGACCTGCAAACTATTGAAACTATTTCTTTCTCATACAAATTGTCAAAGAGTCCATCAGTTGCTGCGATGACAACATCGCCCTCCTCCAGAATCACATGGTAAACCTGCAGATTGTGTAAAGCAAGACCACATATGTTGCACATATTCTGGTTTAGATGAACCATTCAAGAGTTCATTGTTTAAGTAATAGCATCGTACCTCTGCATGTTTTAGGACATCATCGCCTTGCCTAATATGTAAGGGAAAACAAAAATGATGGAACATTGGAGACGATTTCTGAAATACTGTGCCCTCCCTAATAACCATGAATCCTGAATCTCCGATATTGGCGATGTGGAGTTCCTACAAAGTAATTTTACATGATTACAGACTGACTCTATCTCAAAAGGATTTCCAATGTAATATATATGTTAGGGACCAAGTCTCACATTATTGTCAAGATGAGCAATTAAGGCTGTTGATGATCCAGAGGACTTAGTCTCATTGACACTTCTATGGAGAACTTGAACTGGGTCACTTATCTTATCAGCTTCATCGGAAATAATCTTTTCACAGTTGCTCATGAGTTCTTGAGCATACATTCCCTTATTGATTCCTGAAAGATGAACCAAACATATATTCGGCAAGAACAAATAGAAGTGACTGAGTTTCTGCAAAAATTTGGCAAACTATGTAAAAAGATACTTAAATGTACCTTCAAATGACCACTCAGAGACTCCATCCGCAATACCTATCCAGTTGTGGTGAGAGATAAAATAAGCATCTTCACGACCTGCCAATGCCTGGCATCATTATTTCTAAATTACTAACCACATAACATAAATATAAGGATTTATAAATTCAAAAATTGTCAGAATGTTAGAAATGATCTTTTTGAGGTGGTGGGAAATGAGATTGTGATCAAGATATGAAAGATCTTGAGATAACCTTGTAGTGTATATACTGTTTTGTTTATTATGGAGTGTTAATAATTAATATTTCACCAACTGTCCCTTATATAGTTTATACTAAACAGAAGAATTACAGGTACCTTAAATGGGTTGTGGAGTGAAGCAAAACCAGAGTCCAAGTAAAATGCTTTGGACACAAGTTCTTCCCTGTTTTGATTCAAACATCCAACCACAGCAAAACAAGCACGCTTTATAAAAGCTGCAATAAGATTCCTACCCCGGTATGGAAATATACATAGACACATACATATCTATATATATGCATGTAGCTGTATCTATGCAAGACATAGTACAGTTTGTTTAACACAAGAGTAAAATATATTACTTACTAACCTGTCAGAAGCCACTTCAATGGGTTCAAGACTGGCCGTTTCAGGTACAGGAAGTTGGAGATCTTCCCCTTTTGTGTCATCGGCAGTTTTAGATATGCTACCATTATCATCCCTCACAGTTATTTCATCTTCTATGGTTGAAGCCACATTTTCTCCATCATTTTCCTTCATGAATTTAGAGTGGTGGCATTATATACTGTTCCAGAACACTCTATGATGTCTCTTATTCCTTCTACAACTGTTAAAACTACTTAATGGTTTAGAGTTAGTACTCACCACATCAGACGTATCAACTACAGGCTTTTCAGTGATCTCGTCAATGCTGCAATGCGTTGCTTCTGGTTCAACAGGAGTTTTCATAGGGTTTTCCTCAGACGTATCAATAACAGGCTTTTGAGCGATCTCATCAACGCTGTGATGTATTGCTTCTGAAGTTGAAATGAGTTCATCAGAAGACACAGCCGCTGTAGCTGTTGGTTCAACTACAAGATTCTTCTCAGCTTCAAAAGTTTTCTTAAGGTTTTCCTCAGACGTATCAATTACAGGTTTTTGAGCGATCTCATCAACGCTGCGATCTGTTGCTTCTGAAGTTGAAACGAGTTCATCAGGAGACACAGCCGCTGTAGCTGTTAGTTTCGCGACAAGATTCTCCTCAGCTTCAATAGTTTTCACAGGCTTTTCCCTCACATTCAAATTGTCATCAATTTCAATGGTGGATACAGGCACAACTTCCTGTTGTGCGGAAGATGATGACGGTATTGCTTGAACCTCCATACGATTCTCAGTGATTCGTTGATAACCATTTGTCTCACGGTCTCCTATTTTATTGACAGAAACATTCTCCATGACTTGAGAAGAAAGAGGCTCTGCATTATATGACTTGGCCGTGATTTCCTTCTCATTGATTGGCTCAGAAACAACAACTTCTTCTTCTTCTTCAGTAGAGCTAGTTGGAATAGCTTCTGCTACACTAACTATGGAGCTCAGATTGGAAACACTAGCAATCTTGGCATCAACTTTATCTTCACTCTGTGATACATTCACAGTTTCTTTCTTCTTCTTAGTAGGAGAACGAACCCTTTTAATTTTGATGACATTACTAAGATTGGAAGGAGCTGTTTCCTCTTTCTCAGAACTTATTTCAATATTAGAAGTGACCAATTTCTTCTTCCCATCAGATTTTCCCTTCGATTCAGAAACACGATCAAGATCTTGTACCCCTTGTTTCCTTGAAAGTTCACTTGCTTCTTCTGCAATCTTAGCATTTTGCTTTTCTAACTCAACGCATCTCGCTTTTTCTTGAGCCTCGAGATATTTCTCAATTTCACTTGCATCCCCGAACCGGAAGACATGACTTCCATCCTTAAGCTCTGCAAGATTCAAACAAGTATCAATATAAGAGTATAGCTCAGATTTCAAGGTAAATAACTTTTCAATCCTTAGCATCGGAAGCTATCATTCAGCATTTTGAAACTAAGTAAAATTGGTGACAATCTAGTAATTGAGGGTTCAGACACTTGAAAGCTTTTCCGGTGAAGGAAGAGAAAACAAAAGAAGAAGAGGAAACACGATGCCTTACGAGTGCTGGACACGAGATCGAACTTCTCTGGAGCAGAATTCTCCGGAGGACATGGAGAAGAAGAGGAAGCTGGAGACTTTGAAGGTGAAATGGAATTAGCCAACTGTAGTTGAGAGGAGAATCGGAACTCGGGAACGGAATATCCGGGAAATCTCCATGAACGGTGAAGAGAACAAGGGAATATCAGAAAGCGAGGAGCTTGGAGAGAAAGAACTATATGATCGGCCATAACTTAAAACATTCAAGTCTGTAACAAAGAGTGTTACAGAAATGGTTTAGAGTAGACGATGAAGATGATGATAATTGGGTAACCCTCTGTTTCTATCAGATGTGTTCGCTTTGTGGCTACTGTTTTTTTTTCTTCATAATTTGGCTATAAAAATCATCTCTTTTTGACTCTTCTCTTCTCTATCCATTCTCTGCCGGAACTAGTCGTCAATCAAAATCCCAAAGCAATGTTGACTCTAAACGCTTCTTCTCCTCTCACGACCAAGTCATTCCTCCCCTACCGTCACGCTCCTCGCCGTCCGATCTCTTTCTCCCCTGTTTTCGCCATTCATTCGACTGACCCCAAGAAATCTACCCAATCAGCCTCCGCTTCGGCTAAATGGAGCATAGACAGTTGGAAATCGCTGAAAGCTTTGCAATTGCCGGAGTATCCTGACCAGAAGGATCTCGATTCGGTTCTACAGACGCTTTCTTCTTTCCCTCCTATAGTTTTCGCTGGTGAGGCGAGGAAACTAGAGGATAAGCTCGGTCAAGCGGCTATGGGTCAAGCCTTTATGCTTCAAGGTGGTGATTGCGCTGAGAGTTTCAAGGAATTTAACGCTAATAACATTAGAGATACCTTCAGGGTTCTTCTTCAGATGGGTGTTGTTCTCATGTTCGGTGGCCAGTTACCCGTTATCAAGGTCGAGTTTTTCACTCAGCTCGAATTTATCTGGAGGTTTTCTGTGTGATGAATCTGGTTATGGATAGTTTATGATTTTGTGGGTTTTGAGTGTTCAGGTGGGAAGAATGGCTGGTCAGTTTGCCAAGCCGAGGTCGGACCCATTTGAGGAGAAAGATGGTGTGAAGCTGCCGAGTTACAGAGGAGATAACATAAACGGTGATGCTTTTGATGAGAAATCCAGGATTCCTGATCCTCATAGGATGGTTAGAGCATACACACAATCTGTGGCTACGTTGAATCTCTTGAGAGCATTTGCTACTGGAGGTTATGCAGCTATGCAGAGAGTTAGCCAGTGGAATCTTGATTTCACACAACATAGTGAACAGGGTGACAGGTTCATAAACTTTTCTCCTTGTTTATAACCTTGTTTGTTATGATGTTAAACCAATTGGACATATACTTTTGTCAAGTTGGAGAACGGTTTCTTATTTCTTATTGTTGTGACAACAGGTACCGTGAATTGGCCAATAGAGTTGATGAGGCTTTGGGATTCATGGGTGCAGCTGGACTTACCAATGCTCACCCGATCATGACTACTACTGAGTTTTGGACATCCCATGAGTGTTTGTTACTGCCTTACGAGCAAGCACTCACAAGAGAGGATTCCACATCTGGACTTTACTATGATTGCTCTGCGCATATGCTTTGGGTTGGAGAGCGAACTCGCCAACTTGATGGTGCCCATGTTGAGTTTCTGAGGGGAATCGCTAACCCCCTTGGAATCAAGGTATGTGACTGTCAAGTCTCGGTTTGTTGAATTTGAATAGGAGTATCAGTTTCATAGCTTTGTTCGTATAGAAAGAAACACTAAAATGTTGAGGAAAAACCGAACGTTGTGTGAAATCTATGTGATGGTCTATACACTCAAGAACTGTTGGTAACTATATAGGATACCCTGCAAGTCTTAATTTCCTGGTATTGAAGATATTGGAAAACCTTTTTATAAAGAAGGTTCAACAGGTTTTTGTATGAGAAATTCACAGATGTTGATACTTCGATGCAGGTGAGTGATAAAATGGTCCCTAGTGAACTGGTTAGGCTGATAGAGATACTAAACCCTCAGAACAAGCCTGGAAGGATTACAGTTATTGTGAGAATGGGAGCTGAGAATATGCGGGTAAAGCTTCCTAATTTGATCAGAGCAGTACGAGGAGCCGGTCAGATTGTGACTTGGGTTAGTGATCCAATGCATGGAAACACAATCATGGCTCCTGGTGGGCTAAAAACTCGTTCTTTCGATGCAATCAGGGTAATGATTTCTACTTACTTAATCATTGGACTCCATATATAATCTTGCATATGATTCATGTATTTTTGCCCATTAAATTATATGGTGTGTATCAGGCGGAATTGAGAGCATTCTTTGACGTGCATGATCAAGAAGGGAGTTTCCCTGGTGGGGTTCATTTAGAAATGACAGGTCAAAACGTGACAGAATGTGTCGGAGGGTCACGCACCATCACTTACAACGATCTAAGCTCACGCTACCACACTCACTGTGACCCGAGGCTCAACGCTTCTCAGTCTCTGGAGCTTGCATTCATCATCGCAGAGCGTCTACGAAAGAGAAGGCTTGGTTCGGGGAAGTCATCTATTGGAGTCTAGAGAATAAGAAAATACTTGTCCGAGTTAGGATGCGTGTGTATAGAGAGGCTCCCTACTTTATTAAGTTTCAGAAATCAAGCTTGTGTCCTGTTAAAGTAAAACTAAAGTTGTTTTTTTTGTGTGTTGGGTTATACTTTTGTCTGATAAGTGGCTGACTTCATAAACCGGTAAATCTTTATATCACGCTTGCAAGAAAAATTCAATATTTTGATTTAATCGCCATGAAAAGTCCTTCCATTAAGCTGTAAATTTTTGACTCAGATACTTTAAAGATTAAACCTTTGACAAACCAAAAGTTGTCTGAAGAAAATTGGAAAACTAGTGGAAAACTATGAATGCGATTTCACACGTGGACAGGACACCATTCGTTTAAAGAACACTTAAACAAACGCAGGCCTGAAGATAACGGGACTCGAGAGATTGAGATTACGGAGCCACCACTTTCATGGAGTCTACCTTGTCAGCTTTCTCAACCGTCGCGGCCACAGCGATGGCTCGATCTAGTGGTGGTCCTTCATTGCCTCTCCTCACTATTTCTAAAGCTCTTAACCGTCACTTCTCCGGCGCCAGACACCTCCATCCTTTATTGCTCGCTCGTTGTTCTCCCGCCGTGCGCCGGCTTGGTGGGTTTCATGGAAGTAGCCTTACCTCGTCGAATTCAGCTTTGAGAAGCTTGGGAGCTGCTGTTTTGCCGGTAATCCGACACCGTTTGCAGTGTTTGTCGATCTCATCGCCGTCTTTCAGGAGTATCTCAAGTGGCGGCGGTTCAGGATTCGGTGGGTATAATGGTGGAAGCGGCGGCGCTGGTGGCGGAGGATCGGAGAGTGGTGATTCCAAGTCAAAATTGGGTGCTGGAACAAATGATGGTGTTTCTGTTCCGTCGTCAGATATCATTATTCTCGATGTTGGAGTAGGTTCTTCTCTCTCTTTCTATATGATTCTGAATTCACTCCAATACTGTTATGTTACTAACATGGATGTTCTATTCTATTGAAGGGGATGACATGTGGAGGTTGTTCGGCAAGTGTGAAGAAGATACTCGAAAGCCAAGTAAGTGTCAAGATTTTTACTTTACTTGCTCTTCTCCTCTCCTGATGTGCTTTTGTCAGCCTAAGACCAAACTTGGTGTGTTCTTGTCTCAAAGAATGGTTTCCTGATTATTTTGATTTTTTTTTTAAAAAACTCTCTTTTCTTGTTTTCTTTTCTTTGATGTATAGCCTCAAGTTGCTTCTGCTAGTGTTAATCTCACCACCGAGACAGCAATAGTGTGGCCTGTACCGGAAGCTAAAAGTGTACCTGATTGGCAAAAGAGTTTAGGCGAGACGCTTGCAAACCATCTGACCAATTGCGGGTTTCAGTCTACTCCTCGAGGTGAGAGAGGGTGCAGTTTCTATTTATCAAGTTTTCTTTCTGAGAATGCATGCCTAACATAATCAATTATTAGCATTTTGTTTGTGACTCTTGATATTTTTTAGTGATCCTTTTTGTCTTTTTTTTTTCTTCTTGCTGAAAGTAGGATTTTATATACCCTGCCCATAGGTGGAGGGAGTCATGATCACTTATTTTTCCTTAGATGCTTGTTTAGGTTCTTTCTGTAGTCTCACATCTCTTGTTTGTTTCTTTGGCCTGCAGTTCCTGCATACTATCTTTATCTTTGTGTTTTGAGATTTTCTGAACTTCTCGCAGTCTAGTGTCTAAAGAATAGGGTTCCTTTGGAATCAATTAGGTAGCTAATCTGGAGATGAAACATTAGCTAGCAAGACTATTGCATGAGGCAGAGAAAATTATACAGTTGGACGTTAGAATAGTGTGCCTAAAATTTCCTATAAATTGTTTAACCCTTGATGTATAGAAATATAGTGTCAAAAGGTTTAGTGCTTCAATAATGCTAATTGACTTGAAGTAAAAACAAAAAAACTCATCATCTTTTTGCAAATCCGGTGGATACTTGTGGGGTAGGGGAAGTTCCTGAGGATATTGCAGGAGAGTTGGCACCTTGATAGTACAAAAGATTTCTCCAGCAGCAATCATTATCGTTATGGTATGTTCTTTGTTTGAAGGGATTTGAAATTGTGTATTATCGATTTAAGTCTATTGCGGACTAATTTCAAGTCTACTAACTTGATTACTTCTCCTTTAACAGATGATTAAGAGCAGCTGCTAGTGGCGAATGGATTGTAAACATAAAAATTCTGGTGCTAATGGTTCCATTTATGTAGATTTTGTTGTCAGTCCTTGTGATAAATTGATTATCCTAAGGCCGTGTATTTATTTTATGTTGTCCATTGCTGACATGCCTTCTCTGAACCAAACAGCATAACTCTGTAGTGATGATCTTGTTCTATAATGGTCGATTTTTCAAAAGGATACATCGAAAGCTATAAACTTTCATACTATTCCAGGGCATTTGACTTATGTTTTGACGGTGGACCTTCATTCAATCATGGTTTTCTTAATTGACCTGTTCACTTGGCACACACTCTTTTCTTTGCTCTTTTGTAATTTGTTTCTTTTGTTTTCTCATATCTTAGTATGTTTTGCTCTTTAAATGGTAGTTTTAGGTATATCTTCTTATAAATGCAGAAAAAATCTGGATGCCCCTGCTTTTCTGAGTCAGGGTATTTTGCAGTTATATTGCTTGGTATGAGCACTAAGTATCTATATTTGTTCCAGATTTGGTGACAGAGAATTTCTTCAAAGTTTTCGAAACAAAGACAAAAGACAAGCAGGCTCGCTTAAAAGAGAGCGGTAAAAATGGTTTCCCCAA